CAAGTGAGACACTCCAGTGTTTTTGTTTAAAAAGCTTGATCCAATGGTTTCCCATTTTTGTGCAACCTCTGTGAATCTCTCTGCACACACATGGAATGTGTACTGCTGGATTTAAAATTTTAGTTATTAATATTTCCATTATTTAAGATCAAGGATATGGTTTTCGTCTGTACTAATTTTTAAAAGGATACAGTGCATGCTTGAGCTCAGGCAGAAGTCTATATTATCTTAACAGCCTAGTGAATGTTTAAGAAAGGATGTACCCCTGGAATATTTCTTGGAATATTTTCTGTCTGAACATGAAACCAACCCAAATAATGGCCCATGCTTTCATTTGAATGGATTGTATTACTGTAAAAGTTACAGAAAATCTATAATATTATCTCACTAGATCATACTGTTCATGATGAAGGACACAGTTACTACACTTCACAGTAAAAAAGTGATAAGGTGCTACATGAAGGATTATTATTCTAAGGATTATTAACTGTGTTTGCTTTGTAAACATATTATAAACCACTAAGAAAGACTGAAGCAGAAATGGAGCGAAGGAGGAATTGAATGCATTCATTTGAAGTTTTGCAGTAAGGCAAATGATCAGATTATTGAAGTACACGCAGCTCTTTCAATCTGAGACAATCTGCAAGTTTATTTTAGAAGACAAAAACTATTGCACTGTAACAACTTATTTTACAACCAAATTTTAAATGTCACAATCAAAACAGTTAATTTAATCTTTACTGTTGCCATAAGAGGGATGGGCACAGCTGGGCTAAGCCATGCTTTTGTTGTCCTACAATATCAATTCATACTTGAGTGCTCAGCTTCATATAAAAGGAGAGAGCGATCGCAACCACTAACAATTCATACTTTCAGCAAAAGATTATACCAGCAGCAGCATGCATTCCAGGCACCTAGGTTTTTTGGATCCTCAATTCAAGTAAAATGTTTAATAATTTGGATAAACACATAAAGAAAATACGATTCATAAATGGTATTCTGTAAATACAGCACAAGAATCAATAGGGTGTTAATTCATACAAAGTGCTTAATTCGTCAATTAATTCCTTTAAAGCTGCTTTTTCAAATTGACTAAAATCTAGTTACGTTTTGATCAAAAACCATATATATTTTAATGCTACCTTGCAGAATGACGTGGACTGTACCCTGCTCGGTACTAACAAAAAATCCAAACACACGGGTGGTGTACCTATCGAAGTCGTCTCTTCAATGAATTAGGCTGTACATTTCTGAAAATTAACATTTTGTTGTGAATGATGCACTGGGGATTGTAATCTAGTCTTATCTCCAATCCCAGTCAACTGGCATTCCTGAAAGAGTGTGCAACATCATCAGAGCGACCATTTGATAGGATTCTACTGCTGGACCTAATCAATCTTTGGAATACTGTGGCTGCACGGTGCAACAAAGCTAAAATAGATTTACAAATGGGGTTTTAGGGGATAAGCTCCTTCACAGGATTACATATTGATTTTAAATATAAAAAAGCTTATCATATAAACCGTAACTACAAAAATAGTGAACCTATGCATAAATCCTTTTAGAAGAGCTTGCACTTCAAACTACAAACCAAGAGTGAATAAAGGAGTGCAAAATCCTGAGTAAGATCCATTTTGTGGGTTAACAATAAAAACAGAATGTTTTAGAGACTACCCTTAGGCCATGTATAAACAAAACATGAGCAGGTACTCGAGACCAGTGGCAGGTATTTCACCAATGCACAAAACTGCTGAAACATACATTTGACACCGACTTGGTATAATTAGGGAGATAATAATATCTTTTCAATTGTGGCAATTTTTTAAAAAATCTTCCAGATACCATGTTTTTTTATGCTAAAATATGATTAAGAGAAGGTTTTAAAATCAGCACCCAGTAGAGCATTTCATTTTTATTTCAATCCAGTCACTTTAAAATCCTGACCTGACACTAAAATTTGCAATTAAATGAATGCTGCCAGCAAAACCTGATCTACAATTGAAATGTCTACAAGCTCATTAACATTCACTATTTTATACCTCACTAATTTAACTCCCCAATGTAAAAATAATACAAAACTACTGCAAATTATTTATTGACCAAACAATAATAATAATAATCTTTGCATTTTATACAGTGCCTTATCAAGTCTCAAAGCGCTTCACGGGATTTAATGTAATGTGTAGTGATTGTGGATTTTGAAGCGACAGTTTAAGCAGAAACAAAGTAAGAGAAGGGAGTTTATTGTTGAATGATGAATATAATAGAAGTTGATGTACATACCTATGTGAAACATTACAAACAACTGGAGTTTGTAACAAACGACTTATATTCTATATGTGCAATATAGATGTGAAAAATATCTAACGTTTTAAAGTAATGATTTCAACTACTGTATTTCCTTCAGGAAAAGTTGTTGTGGAAAAATAAGAGATCTGGTCAAGAATGTATTAAACTGCCCCAATATTTCCATGCATTGGCCACACTTGTCTAATCCAATTCAAATGTTATTTCATTTTTACAGTATTGTATGGACTGGTGTGACACACTTCGAGGATTATTCGGTACTTTGAAAGTTTCACTACGAAGATTGCACTGAAAAACACGAGCCTAAGTGTCCTAGGCTTTAATGCCACCTGTAACTGGATCGAGTGATATGAAAGTGATTCGGCTTTAAAGATAAGCTTACTGCATCTGCAACTTTCTTTGTTAGCTATGCCTGCTGATCCTACAACAACCCACACACTGAACTGCTATATATGTTTCTGCACTGTCCAGCTTTCAAACCTGGTATCTCAATTGCCACACTGCATGGTGAACACTGCCCTTTCAGATTGCTGAGCAGCCACATGACCGTTTTGTCAAGTGGTCAAGGAGAAACTGTCTGCACATCACAATGGCTAGCAACTCCACACTGAAGGCTCCACGTGCCACTGACATCAATGGGTCAAGAAAAGTTTGATAAACTGCCTTCAAACCCCCCCATCAATGGGCCCTACGCAGTCCACTGAACTGTCTACTCCACTCTGTCATCAACAGAACAAGAAATCAGTTTATCTGTCTGCAAAAACACTGCTATGAATGGGGCCACTGACTGCGCAATGTTTCACTGTCATTCACTGTATTGGTAGCGAACTATCCGCAGAATTAGATGCTCTCCCATCCACTCCCCGGGTATGAAATCTGGAAGACTGCTAATTATTTGCCACAATAAATATTAGTTATTTTTAACTGTGAAAACAGCAAACAAGGTGATATATTCCTATGGCTCCAAAGGCAATGGAACACAACAGATTTTTCAGAAAATATTCTGCGACAGAAATAAATGCTTTTTGAATGTGCGAGAAATCTATTGATTAAATAATTCATGCTTTTATTTTAAAGTCGTTACTGTTTGCTAAATTAAAGATTAGAAATGCCATATTCAAACATATATTTAGATTTTAATAATTCTCTAAGCCTGTACCACACAGTGTCTGTCTGTCAGTGTCTAGTCTGTCTGTATTAAACAGTTTGGGGCAGTGTGATCTGAATCGTTTTCCCTCAGGATTTATATACTTAAGGCTTACCTGAAGTTGTTCACGCATGAGGCAATAAAATTACTGTACAATTATGAATGTTTGAGTATCCCAAGCATGTTTGCCTGAGTGTTTTCAGGTAAAATAAATTCTGCTTATAAAGAGTCAGCACTTGAGGAGCACAAAGTATTCAGACCTGCTCTGAGCTCAGTCTATTCTCAGATCCCAATTTTGCTCAGTCACATTCTTGGCTCAGGAATTTTTGTGCTAAATTTAAATTCACAGTGTCATGAATATAGAAACACAAATTTATCACAAAAACTAAATCTGTTTTCCAATTGTACCTAATGCACACAGCAACAGTTTTATGAGATTAAACCCTCTTGAAGATTCAGATCTGACTTTTGCTCTGTACTGTACACCTTATAAAATGTAAATCCAGAGAAGTACTTTGATACGTACTTCCGACATGAAAGGTGGTGTTATGTCAAATGCAGGATAATTATTTATTATAACCAAACATAACTTTGTAAATACTTTTATCAGTAACTAAGTAGAATATCCTGTATTTTTCATTTATTTCACGAGAAAGCAAGACACTAATATGCATCAATCCTGAGCAGATGTTTTCAGACTACTGTATAACCTTTGCGATTTACACTTTTTCCTCTGCAAAGAAACTTCTACAAAAACAATTTGTTCTGCTTGAGTCGCCACCTGCTACAAGCACAGGCAGTGGCAATATAAACCAGTGCAATACAGAAGTGAGCCAATTGTCGTTTAATTCAAGTCTGATTATGCTGGTGGCAGATTCTGCGAAATAAATTAGAATTGATTTATAATGGCTCAGGTATCTTATCAGGTGAAGAAAGACATAATTGTGGCCAGTCAAAGGTTAACAAGGTCAATACACAACAGCAAAATCAATTTGCATTGATTGCAATTGTTTTATTTTGCAGACAATGTCACTGTGAAAAGGATTAAAGCTCAGCTGAAAACTCTGATACCAGATGCCGTCTGTTCAAAAAAACATTTCCAGCAGCACAGCTTCAATATTTTTAAAATATGCATTTTCTTTTTGAGTAAATACAAGTCTAGAGTACCTGGAACATAAACACTACTTAAGAGACAGATACAGCCAACATAGACATGAATACATCTAGACTATCAGTGTCTTATTCAAGGTTTTTATGTATATCATGCAAGAATTTCTTTCCAAATAAAGGCAGGTCATAGTTTTTTTTGCTTTAAAAAAAGGTTAGATGTCTTCATATGTAATGATTAATGCAAATACATGTCTAGTTTTAAGGGCTCTGAGACGCCGTCCGGCGTGGAGGGGCTATATAAATCCAAGTTGTTGTTGTAGTTATTATCTTGAAGAATTCATGAACAGATTTATTTCTAAAACAATTAAACACTTAGATCTTTGTAAAGACAATTTAGATAATTTTGACAGAAATGCTGCTGTCACTGATCTCTTACCTTCAATTGCCAGCATCGCTCGTAATTCTCGATTTAGCAGTTCAAAACGTCTCTCAAGATCATGTTCTTTTTCCCTAGGCAAGTTACAAAAGTTCATCAATACGTTAATTAACAAATCATTACTGACTAAAAGCAACCTTTAAGATACATTGATTACTGAGCTGACCATTGTCTTTTCTTCCACCTTTAATCTACTCCAAACAACTGATACACAAACCTTCAATGACTACACTTTCCAGTTACGGCCATTTTTAAAAAAAAAGTAGTACACAACAGAGTTTAACATCACTATTATTGCTGCAATCGGGGTAGAAGGGAGACACTAAATGAGACTTTGGTCCGATTGCCTTTTGATTTTTCTTGGTTCTGAACTCTAGCTTTCAGAAATCAAACTTCATATAATTGAATGCATTCCCAGGCTGAGGTATTCTCTCAAAATAAAAAGTTGTGATCTCTTATTAATTTTTTTGCCGTTGCAAAGTCTGTTGGTGCATAAGTTTAAATGGAAAAAGGGACTTGGTAATACTTGGTAAAGTAATATATCACACTAGAAATTTAATTCCACCTTGTTCAAATGAGGAATGCGTCAAATCATAAATGAAATAATTAACCACCCGTCGGCGTGTCAGGTCACTGGCATATGGTAATGTTGAAGGACTGGTGGGCTGAACGCTCGATCTCAAACTCCTGATGCTGAAAGGGGAAAAGAAGTAACTGCAAATGGAGATGGATTGGGTTGTTCTCGTGCATCTCCAATTGATAGGTAAGATTAGCATTGATATTGCCTTGAAGCAGGCTGCCTGCCCTACATACACAGCAGCTTGGGAAGCCATTAAAGTGAGATTACAACAAAGGTGGTACCTTTACACAAAGTCAACATGAATTTAAAAAAAGACAAGAGAGATAGCGTTATAATGAAAGCGTGTGACTTGAAATGATAAATGACATAATAAATATTAAATTAAGTTAAATTAAGTCTCCCATACAGACGATGAAGGTTCTGGAATACGTTTGCTCTTAGTGGGCCAGCAGGAAGGGACGTCACAATTGTTTTTCATGGCCCAGGTGAGTTAAAGGTAATATTGGTAAGAGTTGCTGTTCCGGATCAATAACTGTGCAGTGGCTTCTGCTGAAAGGCACGTTTGTGTGGACATTGGATAAGGACAGGTTTTGGGCTCGACTGCGATGTCTCTGTGGTTGAAGAGCTTTCTTACACAAACCAAGAAACCATATTACATTGCTTCCCAGCTAAAGCTACAGAATTTAACAAACACTTCTAACAGTAACAGGAATGATGCATTTTGTCACGTTGCTGAGTTTTATCTTGTAAATAACTGTTCACAATTTGTGGTGGGAACGTCGTGCCGTTGAAGTAAAAAAAAATAAAGATTTGAATTCAAAATAAAAAGTACAGCACAAACGAAAGGACAGAAAAATCCCATTTCAGATATACAGAATTGTTGGGATCTTCAAAAGACAGTTATTTGTGTAATTCTGGCTGTGCACTTACAATAGTGAAAGCTGGTTCTGTCGTCTTATCAGGGCATTCTTCTTGTTGACCAACACAAACCACTCTTGCATCATTGCTTCCTCCTCCTCTTTGTTGTTCCCTGAAAAAGAAAAGAAACCCGTTGAAATAAACAGCGGCTTCAAATCCTGCAGGACAGTGGACCGGTTACTTGTAACGTGCAGCCAGGTTGATATTTTTTACCTGTTGATTGCACATCAACAGGTAAAAAATAGGGCAGCTTCACAAAGGTAGAATTATACAGTAATTGGGGATTCGCAAAACATTATAACAGTGTGTACTCACAAACTGTTGCCTCATTGCTAATCTCGTGTTCAGTCATCTAATTTTTAACTGATTGTCACTCTTCATATTCCCCACAATTGCCAGCCAGCACTATTCCCTCCTCGCTTCTTTGGCTGACAAGTCAAGACGGTCTTTGGTTGCAAACATTTTTATGATGGTCACCAATACTAGTCTGGTTAGGTTACAGAGAATTTATTCTGAGCAGGACTGAACCAATTAGTATTTGGTACCACAAATGATACCACCTATACCACCTATGAGCTTGAGGCTACATGTAGTTGTAGAAGAAACAGCATCCCCTGAGCTTTCAGTGAGCTGAAATAGATCTTTAAACAGAATGTTCCAACCCGTGCTCCAGTTGACCAAGTATCCTATTTTCTAGTTAAACGCATGACTATCAGGGAGACTTTGTGTAACCTATGGCAGATCTGCAGTATATCCTTGCATAGGAAAATTCATGGGAACTCTCCCTTCACCCCCCATCATGAAAACAAAAGTCTCTAAGATGTTAAATCAGGATTCGGCACAAACTGGAAAGTCTGGGGGTAAATCAAAATATTTATACTTTCTAACTGGAATATGGAACAGCAGGCAGAGTATGGAAACGGTATTGACAAACATAGCAACAGAACAGCAACACAGCTGTTGCCAATGGGAGGGAAATGAGTGAAATAGCTAAGATGAGATGATGTATAAAGGCCTGGGAGGCAAAATGATCAGCTGTAATTTGATTGCAAAGTGTTCTCACAGAAGCATGCACCGGAAACATTAACTTGTCTGGTGACTAAAGTTGAATTATATCTTATTTAGTTATATTTCTTTCCTATAGTGTAATATGAGTACATCTTTGAAGTGCAGCATTTCAATTTCCTGGATGTTGCCACTCAGCTTCTAACCCAACGAGAATCGTAGAAATTCCAACATCGGGAGGACATCTCAAGGCGTTGGACAGTTGAGGGTTGGCACCTGGGCTGGGAGTGGAGCATAGGAGGGGGGTATTTGGTTTATTGAACCTAAAGGCCAACCCCACTACAATGCACTGATTTAGGTTCATAAAGTCAAACCCCATAGTATATCGGGGCTCGCTGTAAAAATAGCCAGTGACAAGCACTTCTGTGTCACCCACCAGATTGGTGTTGATGTCACTGACATCTCCAGGGAGGGGCCTATGAAAACGCCTTGAAAAGCACCACAAACCATCAGAAACTCTGACAATCATGTCCAGCAGTTGCTGAGCTGCTGAGAGACCCTGTGTTGGATGTGTAGCGCACCTGTGGTCTGACAACTGAGGGTTTACAGTGCAGCCTGTGCTATACAAGGTCTGTGTTATAAAATAGCTCATGCTATAATGAAGATTGCCTACAGTTGGTGCACTGGAACTCACAACTCCAATCCTAATTTTCTGCTCGTTCTATGTAACTTTTTATATTCTTATGCTTCAAATAGTTGTCAAAACTGTTCTTCCAAGTATTGTTCTTGGGACCTATTTAGAAGTATAATAATAGTTGCACTTGATATAGTGCTTTATTATGCTGTTGAGACGTCTCAAAGCGCTTCACCGGATATACTGTAAAATAGATTGACTGTATGTTTTATGGGCGAAATGCAAGTAACTATAATCTTACATATAAATAAAATATATATAAATATGAAACATCTACATATTAAAAATGCTGCCGTTGAAACCATGAGCAAGAAACATCCTCGGAAAAAATGTTTGAAGCACAGCCAAAATCAGGAACAGGAAGCAGGTGAACTCCACAGCATTAGTTTGCAACCATAACCACCCCTTTCTTTCCCTTTTGGCAAATCACCCAGCAGCAATTAAAGATGTAGTTTCAAGCATGCAGGAGAACGTGAATCTTCTGAGCAGTTTTCCCCCATATTCTGGCACAATAGAATGCAATACTGGACCTTGCAGTGCCTAGTGCAGTAAATACCTTTATGTTTTAAATAATAATCTTGCATTTGATATAGAGCCTTATCACATCGTTGAGACGTCTCAAAGCGCTTCACAGAATATACTGTGAAGTGAATTGACAGTGTATTTTGTGGGCAAAAGTAATTTTCAGAAGTTTACACGTAATGAGCAAAAAGGAAGGAAATCAAGCAGTATATCTGGTAAGGAATAGTTGACTGGAGCAAAGATCAAAAAAATTGGTGGAAAGGATTTTTTTCGAAAAAAAATCAGAATTTAATCCTTAGAGCAGAGCTCTGATTAATCACATTGGAAAATCAGCTAAGTTTACTGCTGGTGCGTCTGTAAATTTTACAATCTTCTGCAGCTCTGATGATATAGTGAGAAGCCTCCTGCTCTTTGAATTATGTTGTAGTAATCCATGTAGATCTTGGTCTTGTATAAAATAGCATTTTTGCACCTCTCCAGATGCATTTCTGTGATAAGATAACAATTTCGTGACAATTCGGTAGGATTAAATAATTTCGCTACCACTCCTATGACATAAAATCAGATTTTCCAGCCCAGAAAAAAGCAAAATGGTGACCGACATCCTCCACATAGAGACCTAACATTACAGGGGGGAGGAAAGCTGCCGAGTACAGTACTACCTGATATCTTGCAATAATAATAATCCTTCCATTTGATATAGCGTTTTCTCACATCTTCGAGACGTCTCAAAGCGCTTCACAAAATATACTGTAAAGTGAACTGACTGTATTTTGTGGGCGAAAAAGCGCAGCCAATTGCACACAGTAATGTCCCACAAGCAGTCGTGGATTGAGTGACCAAATTATTATTACCTTTTTTGAAGGGAATTATTATCCCCGGAAAAGCAATTGACTAACAACCAGGTTCCTACTTACTGCTAGGTAAATAGAGGCGTGTGGAGCAAGGAAACCTGCCCAATGTTTCGCCCTGCCGGGAATCGAACCCAGGTCTCTCGCTTGTAGCATGACCGGGGTGGACTGGCTATAGGCGAAATTTGCCGAGTGCGCCATCAATGGTTTCCATTACTTTCCACCCCAAAGCCTGACATCTGGGTGAGTGATAGCTCGGTGTCCCCCGTTTTACTCAGCCCTTTTGGGGAGCCAGTCTGCGACTTGAACTTCTATCACTTTCTTCTTATAATTTTTTGGGCCTTTTCTGGGTTTATCAAATTGAAGAACATCACTTTTTCCATTCTAAGCATCCAGTTTCCACACCAAGCACTTTTGGGGACAGACATAAGACACACAGAACACAATCAAATGCACAGTAAAGTTCCCTCTTCCCATCTCAAATCTCTTTTGAGAAATGTTTCTTCCTCCACCAATCCGGCTTTTTCATGCCAAAATCCGTACACAGAGAAATGGTTTATTTGTACGGTGCCTTTCATCAGGACGATGTCCCAAGGTGCTGGACAATCAGGCTTTTGGACCTGAACTGAGGGTCGGGATCGGGGAGGGCGGGGCAGGGAAAGAGAGTGACTGAAGGCACGGTCGAAGAAGAGGGTCTTGAGATGGGTCTTGAAGGAGGCAAAGAAGGGCGTGAGGCACAGGAACTGTGGGATGGAGTTCCAGAGGGTGGAGACAGAGTGGCTGAAGGCCCGCCTGCCAATGGTGGGCGAGCGAGGCGGGGGACGCGAAGGAGGCCGGAGCTCACTGCGCGAAGGTAGCGAGCAGGTTGGTAGGAGGTTGCAGACGTAGGGGGGAAGCAAGGCTGTGGAGGGCTTTGAAGATGAGGGCCAGGATCTTGAACTGTATCCTCTGTGTGACGGGATGCCAGTGGAGTCGGGCGAGGATGGGGGTGATGGGGTCGCAGAGCCTGGTGTGGGGGAGGACAGGGGCTGTAGAGTTCTGGATGATCTGTAGCCAATGGAGAGAGGAGTCGGGGAGACCGACAAGCAGGGAGTTTGCGTAATCGAGCCTAGATGTTACGAAAGCATGTATGAGGATCTCGGTGTCCTCCTGTGTGAGACAGTGGCAGAGCTGGGCGATGTTGCAGAGGTAGGGGAAGGCAGAGCACAGATGTGGGGTAGAAAAGATAGTTGAGTGTCAAACAAGACTCCAAGGTTCCGGACTGACTTAGTAAGGTGGAGTGTGCAACCCTGGATGGTGATGCTGTCAGCGCCTGAGCTGTGGAGGTGCTGACGGGAGCCAATCAGGAGAGCCTCCGTCTTGTTATCGTTCAAATGAAGAAAGTTAGCTCTCATCCAGGACTTGATGTCTGACAGACATTCTGTCAGGACAGCAGTGGTCCTGGAGTCGAGGGTGAAGACAGAGAGATACAGTTGGGTCTCATCCGCATACAAGTGGAAGTTGACCCCATGTCTGCGGATGATGTCACCAAGAGGGAGCATATAGGTATTGAAGAGAACAGAGCACCAAGGACAGAGCCCTGAGCAACACCGCACGAGATGGAGATGAAGTGGAGATGGTGTGAGAGGCAGGATCTGAACCATGAAGGTTGAGGTGAGAGGAGAGGTGGTCGAGGAGGATAGAGTGGTCAACAGTATCGAAGGCAGCAGAGAGGTCAAGGAGGATAAGGAGGTAGAGGGAGCCCTGGTCGCAGATGGACAAAATGTTGTTTGTCAGTTTGACCAAAGGTGTTTCTGTTTTGTGCAATAAGAGCGCAATATTGCTGCCCATTAGTGGGTCTGTGTCAACGAGGTACTGCACACTGGCAGAAAGGGACTTCATTCCATCAATCTGGAAAAGATTTAATCTTGGTATTGGATAGTGTTCCAATCTACATCCTTCCACCATCCCATTACAAACCATTTTTACAAAAAAAACACAAAAACAAAAATCAATTTTGAAAAAATAAAAAATGTTTTTAAAATTGATAGGTTAAGGACA